CTAAATTTCATTATATTTTACTGTATGTGATTTTCGAATTTATGTACTCAGAGCTTTATTCAGTTCGATTTGATATATTGTATTGTTGTTTTATTTGAAATTGTATTTGTATTATTGCCGCCGTAGCTAGTCATGTAATATTATATGTTATAATATTCTTGAGAGGGGAGGCATGTCGCATACGACTTGTTTACCACTTCCGTGTCACTGAGAATGTTCTAGAACCGTACTATGTCTGGGTGGAATATTCTAGATAATATAACACTGTAGGAGGCAATAGAAGGTAATGGAACATTCTAGAATTTGTAGTAAGTTCCAGACTCATTATGTATGCTGATGTAATGGTCTATTTATAGACAGTGGGGGTACAGTATATATAGGGGAGTTGCTCAGCACTGAGTTCAGATCGGAGATCTCGTTGAATTGTATTGGAGTTTAAGTATCTAGTTATGGAGTAGTGGAGTTTTACCACGTTATTGTACTTGATGTTTGCAGAGTATAATAATACCAGTACCAGTTGAAACCTCATCTGTTGACTCCGTGTTCGTATGTTATCATCGCCGCCAGGGAAGTCTTTCTGTTACTGTTGCCATTTTGGTATTTGAACCATCACACCTGTACTATACCAATTACGGTAATATTACGTTGCGTGTGATACACACATTGTGCTATATAGGGTTTTTCAAATCATTTAGATCAGTATTATTTCTCACTTACATTTGTATTTTGCTAACAACTAAAAGGACTAAACTAAAACCTAGTGGATATATGCAAAGTTAAAAATAGAATGTATTGTTTTCTTCACAAACCAATGAAGTTAAACAATATACTGAATATATCTGCAAAAACAAATTTCACCAAAGTGTTTCTCATTATGATTAATTGGTTATTTTTCAGAGAAATTATAAACCCATGTACCAAAAAAAAATATTCACCAAGATAAGAAACTTAGAAAGACATTGAAGACAAACAATTTATGGTGCCTTCTATTTTTTCCTGCAGTGCAAGTTGGTGGTAGTAGAAAATATTCAACTTTTCCTATAACTTCTTATTACTCACCGCTTTGAAAGAACTTTCTAATTGTTGTTGTTTTTTCATCTTCTGCATTTTTTTGACTCTTTTCTTAACTTCTCTTTGGAAATGCTGTAATTTTTCTTCTTTCAACTGTTGTGCTCTTTGTATTCTTTCCTCCTCAATCTGAGCTGCATACTGTCAAAAAGATGAAAGCCGTTATGTGTTGAATAAGAGTGCATAATTTTCTTGTCATTTGAACTCGGTACCGGTACTTTGGAATGTCATAGTTTTGAGGGGGAAATTATGGTAAGGGTTGGGGTAGGTTTAAGTGCCTGTGAATCATTCAAATCATGGAAGTCATGGAAGTATCTACAGTAGATGAGTATACC